ATATATATATTATATACAGAGAGAGACAGAGAGAGACATAGAGAGAGAGTGAGAGAGAGACAGAGAGAGAGACAGACCACTGAGAGGTGACGAGTTGTCCTCTTGGATAGTGTCATTATAAAATAGAAAGGATGAAAGAGGGTAGCGAGAAATGGTCGTTTGTACAAGTGACTATCTAGGACAGGCCCAGTTTCCCCCGTTAGAGCAGGTTTGACAGTATTTTTGTCTCTCACCACCCACCCCCACCCCCATCCCTACCCCCAACATCCTCGTTTAGGTGTGGCGGCCAACTGGCACTATCCTCCAGTACGGATTAGTCGGTGAGATCACGCAGACTGTTTCATCCTCAAGTATCCTGAGCTTCAGCTACACTGGGACAGATCGGATCGCCGTTCAGTCCGGTGACACAATCGGATGGTACGTAAGTGGACAAGAAATAGTCCGGTTCAAATCAGGCGGTGGGGGATACAACGACAACTATAAGATGTCTATGTCTGCCCCGACCGTTGGCGCCATCCTGGATCTCACTGGCAAGGAAACAGGCAGAACCTACGCCATTTACGCCACGCTGGGCCCTGGAAATATCCCCGTGTTCTCCAACTTGGATCACTCCATGTCGCAAGCCAAAACTGCTTTCTCCACCGCGGTGACTGTCTACACAGTGGTTGCTACGGACGCGGACCCAGGAGACAGTGTGGCATACAGCTTGGCTTCTGTGACACCCAGTACTCACTTCACTATCGACTCCAGCACTGGTACGACTGGTGTTTTTGTTTGTTTTTGTTTGTTTTTGTTTTTAGTTGCAGTAAGAGTTTTGCAGCATTTGCGATACGTTCAGGTCATTAAAGTGCCGAGGATTAGAGGTGTTACTAGAGTGTAACATACAAATAAAAGAAGGAAGGGAGGAGATAAAGATGACAGATGTCTGATAAGAAAGAAAGGGCAAACCACACCAGAGCACCCGCCAATGAGCCACACGACTGTTTCTAAAAATAACACACACAAAAATAAATAATCCTCAAAGGTTGACGAAAAGGCTTTTTCGTGTCAGAAGAACAAAAGATAAATGTAGGTAAATGTAAAACGTAAGACGAACTTCTTTTTATTTCAAGAGAAATTTGTTCCACATAAAAACATCCATAAAAGAACAATATGAAGCGACACAGACACCACCAAGTTTCTGTAGATAGTTACAACAAATATAGGTTGGGGGGGGGGGGATTCCACATAAAACTCGGGAGGGTTGTGTGTTTACACAGCTCTATAAACTATGTTATGAAAGTTCTGGTTGTGCTAATGGTGGTGATTGTGGTGGTGCTTATGGTGGTGCTTGTGGATGTAGTTATGGTGGTTGTGGTGGTTGTTGAGGTAGTGGTTGTAGTGGTGGTTGTTGTGGTATTGATTGTAAAGATGAAAGTGAAGAAAACAAAGAGGGGGATGACGGGATCAGAAGAAGAGCAAGGACTAGGGAGAAAAGGAGAACTAATTAGAGCAGGCGAACGATGACACACTGATGACCAATCCTGAGACAACAGTCTGGGCTCATTTTCTTTTCTTTTTTTTCCCCTATTTTTTTTTCGAGAGGTTGCTTTTGGTTTATTTGTTGTTTTGGGGCCTTTTTACTAAGCTTTGTCTTTTCACAGGTGAGGTCAAGCCGACGAGCAGCCTTTCTGTGAACACGTACACGCTGACTGTCCGAGCAACTGACAACTGCGGAAGCACCCAGGACGCCACACTGACCATAGACGTGATCAACAACAATCCCGTGCTCAGCAATTTACCTTTCACGCTGAGTCAGCATTTGTTGCTCTTTTCTACGTCAGTCGTGGCCTACACAGTGACAGCCACTGACCCTGATGTAGGAGACAGTGTGACATACAGCCTAAACTCTGTCACTCCTTCAACGGACTTCGCCATTGATTCCTCAACAGGTTAGAAATAAACGGCATTCTTACAAATTTCTTACATGGTGTCTAAAGGGTGGGGTTATTAATTAACAATGGAACGCGTCGATAGTCTTGAGGTTAGGATACAAACTCATGAGGTTGTGGGTGCCGGGTTCGAGCCTAGGTTCGGACGTTGTATGCTTAGGAAGGCCACTTACCGCGAATTTTCCTCACTTCACCAAGGTATGAATGGGTGCCATTCCATAGACCGTGAAAGATCTTGTCAGAAGGCCCATTTTAGTGATTTAGCGAGTGTAAAATTGCCGCTTGGGATGTACACTTCCCAGAAAGTTGAGATTGTTTTAGAATGCTATCAGGTCTGCTGGAGTAATAAAATAAAAGCGCACAGAGCTTGCTGTTAAGCGGGAATTTACGCTATGCGTATTATCTATTACCTATTATTGTTCTTTTCGAGTAAGGCAGCTTTCAATTTGTGACACCGTTCAATACTGTAACGAAATAAAGCATTACATGTATCGAACGGTGAAGGAACGTAAAAGTTCTGTTACTTCACTACTAATGGGGGAAAATAGAATTTGACCAAGGGAATAAAAAAGGCGAATGACTGCAAACGTAATGCCGCAAAAGACGGGATAGGAAGTGACAATAGGGAACTACACGTTCACTTTATTTATGGTCCTGATGTCATCTGAGGAGAGGAACTACAACATAGATAAATACATGTACTGTATTCTTTTATTACACTTAATTAACTGTTCGTTTTTCCTGTTTTTTGTTACGTAGCTGAATGTTCAGTAAAACCGACAATCAATTGATCGATCTTTAGGTGAAAGATAGGAAATGTAAAGATATGACAACAAATAGTAAATTCAAGGATGCTTTGTTGTAATAAGTAAATACAAATGTATTTGTATTAAAGAGCAAAGAGTATCTGTAGAGTGTAGATATGTAAATGCATTTTATTATTATTATTATTATTATTATTATTATTATTATTATTATTATTATTATTATTATTATTATTATCATTATTATTATCATTATTATTATTATTATCATTATTATTATTATTATGTTGTTGTTGTTGTTGTTGTTGTTGTTGTTGTTGTTGTTGTTGTTATTATCGCTGTTGATGTTGTAACTATTATTATTGTTGTTGTTATTATTTTAATTGTTATCATTTTTAATTGTTATTATTATTATTATTATTATTATTATTATTATTATCATTATTATTATTATTATTATTATTATTATTATTATTATCATTATCATCAGCATTATCATTTATATGTAAAAATGAATTGATTAATGAGAAAGAGATATGTTACAAAATAAACGGCTTGATGAACCGAAAAAGTTACGACCGTCTTAATATGAAAGCGTTCACCCTTTCAGGTGACGTCACCCCAACAACTACCCCTTCCCTGGGCACCTACACGCTGTCTGTGAGAGCGACTGACACAGTCGGTGGCTACTTGGACGGGACACTGACCATTGAAGTGACCAATACGAACCCGACGTTCAGCAATTTGGACTTCACATTGAGCCAGCAGCACACACTGTTCTCCGTCTCTGTGACCGTCTACACCGTGCTGGCCACTGATGCTGACGCCGGAGACAGCATCACGTACAGTCTGAACTCTGTGACCCCATCCGTGGACTTCACTGTGGACTCGTTGTCTGGTGAGAGACTGATAAACGAACAAATAAAAGAAAGGCCAATGTGGAAAGGCCAATGTGGAAAGACCAATGTGGAATACTTCGACATAGTTGTTTGTACACTGGCTTGGCTTGCTCTTTAACTCTTTGACGACACGCATTCTGGTCTGTCTACAACACCTGAAGACGCACCTTTTTTTTGGGGGGGGGGAGCACTCTAAAAAAGAAGTAAGACTTAATTATTCATCATACAGATTTTATCAATTCTGTTTTCTTTATCTGAAAAGGCAAGCAATAGCATGCATACAATGAAATGTGATGATTCATGTTTCTGATTTGTGTGTGATGGTTCGAAATGTGTCGAAACATTAACATTGCTCTGCTGCTAATCGGACATATTCTTATGTGTCTACTGCGTCTGCAAAGAGTTAATGAAGTATTAATCAATGTTGTGCTCGTTGTCAGGTAATAACAATTATCTCTCCTTCAGCGACCCTACCCCTCGATATTCATATAAACACTCATATAAATATTAGCGAACGTTCTATAATACTGTAAAAAAAATGAAAATATGGGACTTATTTGGGGGCCTGTTTTCGTATGACAAGAAAAACAACACAACCATAGACAAGCAATCTAACTGTGGTACGATGCGGTGGAATCAGTTGCTCGTCAGTTTTTTTGCATATGAAGTTGGCATCATCGTTAATTTTTTTTCATGGGCCTTGTTTTTTATTTAAATATACGTCTTCTAATCTTAGACAGAAGTCAAGATATTATTTTCGATTGAAGGAGGTGGGGGTTGACTGGTATCAGAGGTTAAATTATCGAGAGAGTGGTCCATGAAGTGTGATGACTTCCAAAGATTGACAGAGTCCCTGGAAACTGCAAATTTACTATTTTTAAATTATTTTTTTTCTTTGGGGGGGGGGGGGTTATTAGCTTTTCTCAAGAAAATCCGCACGTGTGCTTTTATATGATCGTAAAAAGTGTTGAGCTAAACACATTTTTTTTTTAATTGAAAAAAAGATACGATTGAAAATGGCAAACAGGTAGAAAAATTTCTAGTGCCGTAAAACTTTTACTAAAACTAAAAATCAAAGCAACCAATCATTATTTCTTCAGGTCCCAACTCCCCTTTAGCCAGAAGCGTGAATAGATAGAGACAGATATGCTCTATAATATAAATGAAACTATTATCAATCTAATCAATTATTGTGATTTCTTCAGGCAACATCTCCCCTTCAGCTACCCCGTCCGTGGGCACATACACACTGTCAGTCAGAGCCACGGACTCGGTGGGAGGGTATGTAGACGGAACACTGACCATCGGAGTGACCAACGCAAACCCTGTGTTCAGCAACCTGGACTCTACCCTAAGCCAGCGACACACTCTCTTCTCCACCTCTGTCACGGCTTATACCGTGCTGG